TACAGGCTTTGCTGCCATTATATCTACTCTTACACGTGGCTGTTTTCAATGGAAAGTGAGTAACCAAAAGCTATTAATGATTTCTGTTACCTTATTTTAGCTTGTTTTGGACTTAATTATTTAATCTTTGACATAAAATTTGTGTTGAATGTTCGAACAGGAAGATATTTGCACAACTGCGAGCTTCTTTCAAGGGAAAAGAAGATATTTATAAAAAGTTGTTGAAGAAGTATAAGAACATACCTGACTGGTGGTTTTACCTGTTGCTTGTGTTGACATTGCTACTCTCTCTTGCGCTATGTATTTTTCTGAAACATGAAATCCAAATGCCTTGGTGGGGCTCATCTTTGCAGCAGCCATTGCTTTAGTTTTCACTCTTCCTGTCAGCATCATAACTGCCACCACAAATCAGCTAACAAACTCACACTTTCATATGAACTCTGCAGGATAAAGATGCAGGAACCTAAAGACAATTACTAAACCTTAGCAAAAAAAGCAGACAATATATGCTAGCATGTTACATTAAAGCACCACAAAATTATTTAGTTCTGAGTTATGGCATGATTTTTCTTTCGAATTTCAACATCTGACTACATTTTGTATCCAGCTAATCTTCGTTTGCTGATTTTCACACTTTCTGTTGCCAGTCACCAGGACTTAATATCATCACAGAGTACATCATGGGTTACATGTTACCAGGAAAACCAACAGCCAATGTCTGCTTCAAAACTTATGGATATATAAGCATGACACAGGCAGTTTCCTTTCTTAATGATTTCTAGCTGGGCCATTACATGAAGGTTCCACCAAGATCTATGTTTGTAGTCCAGGTATATCTCCTGAAAAAAGCAATTGTATGTTGAAGGGAAATAATTAATTGAGTGAATCAAAACAGAGAATTAATTGAGTGTAGCAGGAAATAATTAATAAATATAGATAGACTTGAATATATAAAGTATAAACCCCTATTTTTGCATCCTAAGTCAAGTATATATGAGACCAGAACAGGGTCCTTTGAGACCAGAATAGGGTCCTTTGTATATGGTTTCTTTAGTTGCTTTATGCTAATGCCTTCCTCCTATTTGTTTTCTATTAAAAGGGCATAGGAACTGTAATAGCGGGAACAGTCAACCTTGCAGTAGCGAGGTGGCTGTTGACTACAGTTGAGAACTTATGTCAGGATCACCTACTTCCTCCCAACAGTCCATGGACATGTCCTAGTGACCGTGTCTTCTTTGATGCATCTGTTATCTGGGGCTTAGTTGGACCAAAAAGGATCTTCGGTCCTCTTGGAAACTACTCTGTTCTCAACTGGTTCTTCCTCGGAGGTGCCTTGGGACCTATTGTGATACGGCTATTCCTCAAAGCTTTCCCTAACGAGAAATGGATCCCACTGATCAATCTTCCAGTGCTCTTGGGAGCAACAGCTGCAATGCCAACTGCAACATCATTGAACTTCAATTGCACGCTTATTATTGAAATCATCTTCAATTACTATGTTTTTAAATACCGAAAAGGTTGGTGGCAGAGATACAACTATGTTCTCTCCGCGGCCTTGGATGCTGGATTGGCTTTCATGGGAGTGCTCTTATATTTCACTTTGACCATGCAAGGAACAAGCATATCCTGATGGGGAGGTGAACGCGAGCACTGCGATCTCGCTACCTGTCCAACTGCCAAAGGCATAGTTGTAGATGGCCGTCCGCTGTATTAGATTCATTTCAACTTCAATATCAAGAACTTTAGGCTTCCAGCACATTCCCTCTTCATTTTCATAATTAGCACATTCTCAAGAAGGAAGAAAAAAAAAGATGTATCTGTAAATCTAACAACTGTTTTTTTTTTTTTTTTTTGCCTTCTAAATATATTAAGTTTCTATATTGATTTTCTTCTCTGCATAAAGAAGAGCTTACAAATCATCAATCTAAGCATTTACTTCAGCACTGAACCGATACTGCAACACATAAACAATTTCCCTCTGCTCCATAGAACAAAATTAAAAGAAAAGACAAAAAGAAAATAAATTTAAAAGAATAAATCTCCATATTCCAACGACTGGAACCAGCTGGCTGAAGTCATTTCACTTGTCTGCAACTGATTTTGATGAAGAAGCAGCATATCTGGAGGAGAACCCACGATATAGAGCGCCCTCAGGATCATCATCTCCACAACGGTCGTCAAAGTTCTGAGCATAGCTTAAAGGGTCGTACCTAAAGCCACCAACTGGTCTCGGTTGCTTTGCCCTGAAAGCTGCCGTTATGCTATTGCCCAAACTTTTTATTTTCCTTTTCGTCCATGGAAGCTTCAGCTTGAGACGACCCCAGCAGGAAAGCAAGGCTTCTTCTTCCTTTGTGTTCCTCGAAGGTGAACTTCTCTCCATGGTTTTTAAGCCTTTTTCAGGAGAAACTTTCTGCCTTCTAAATGATGAAGAAATGTTTTCTTTCTGAAAGGTTTGTGGGGTCTCTAGATTTTCTCTCGCTTCTTTTATTTTGTATTTTTAGTGTGTGGTAGAGAAGCAGGGCATCGGTCCTTAGGATGTATGGAAACGGTTGTTCTCCCTTGGGTTTTAAGAAAAAAAAAAAAGGTGAGATTAAGAAGTAAACCAGACAAGGCATCTAAGGTGAGAGACAGAGAGTGAAGAACTGTTTCTCACTATTTATTTCGCTAAGCAAAGGTGTGGGTAAATTGATGGTGTGATAAATTTGCACCATTGGATGCGCTGTAGAGATGTAGATTCTTCTACCCATGGAGAACTTGATATTCAATGCATAAAAGCAAAAATCGTGAATTCCAGTTTATACCAGGGCTGTTAATATTGTACCGCAGATATTATGTATATATTTTTTTAAAATATGTTAATGTCAGTTATTTTAGTATATTATTTTTAAAATTTTAATTTAATATTAATATATTTATAAATATTCATGAATTTGTATATAATAATATTATTAATATTATATAAAATAAATATGTAATATCTTAAAAAATTAAATAAATAAGTTTAAAAATATAACAAATGACATCATTAATTTATCATAATATTTTTAAAAATTTAATCTGATTGTATATGATATTTACATAAGTATTTTTCATGTAAAAATATATAAAAATAAAAATAAAATGATAAAAAAATAAATTTTAGCTTGAGGATTCTAAAACTTTAGAGAATGAGCATAATTGCTTTCTTGAAAAGGTTTGATATTGTTAAAAATTTTAGTTTTAAAAAATAAAATGTAAAAGAAATTAAGTTACAATAAAAAAATTCAACTTTTAATAATTATTTTGTTTATTAATTTTATTTTTATTAAATTAAAAATAACCAAATATTAAACCACAAGTTAAAAATTATAAAATATATTTTTTATTCACATTCTAATCAAAATAAATTATTTTATCAAAATTTATCGAAATCAACTTAAACAAACAAAAACAACCAAGTCTAATGTAAAAAATTTCTCTTAAATGTAGTACATTTTAATATAATTAAAACATATCAATTGATAAAGTCAGTATTAAAACAAAATTAACAACAGTAATATAAAACATAAATGTTAAATTTACCTTAAAAAAAAAAACATGGTGTTGGTAAGTGTAATTTTTCTATATATATATAGTCATAAACATTGTTTAGTGTAACTTTTATACTTCATAAGTTTTGTACACGTAAATAGTGTTATAAATGTATTGAAAATAAATGAGAAAAATAAACGACGGAGGTATCCCAACCTGAATTCTCATAATTATGAGATTCACATTGATCTTTTCTTTTTTTTTTTTTTTCCTTTGATGATGGTAGAAGGAAGCCTTGTCTTCTTATGAAAGAGACGTTCTCGTTTGGTTTGATGGTGCATAGAGAAGCTTTTACTGTGAGAATATCCTTATGCACATGGTTGTTGCCATTTAAAAAAAAAAAACTGGGGTGGATAAATGACTTGCTTTAAGTTATGGCCCTCAAACCATGTGATTCAGCGGCGTGCTCAGCAGCCTCCCTCATCTGGTCCATCCTTTTCTTTGGGTACCTGTCACTTTGACCCACACTCGTCCGGTCACCATTTAATTTTCTTTTCCCCTTCTTTATCCAGTTATTATGCCAAAATCCTTGCAACGAGCCTGAGATACCACTACATTCATCCTGCCTCTTTCCCGTGTTTAATGTCCTTTGGCGTCACCAAAAAAATCAACAGTTATTTAGCTTTAGATTGCTCAAGGTAACTCAAAGTAGCCTGCCTCCTCTGCTCTGCTCAGCTGATAGAAAACCGGCTTGGCAGGTAATAACCAATAAAGGTAATTAACGGTGAAAGTAGCATAACATGGAACAATGTTATCAGAAACGGACTGTACTGATCTGTTGAACTAGTGATCAGTACGGTTCTTAAAATTAAAAAACCGAATGTTCATTGATCAAGTAAAACATCTATCAAAATTCAATTAAATCGGATTAAATCAAACCGAATTAATCAAATTTAATTAATTTTTATTATTTAAATTATAATTATTCTTAAAAAAATTTTTTGTTAAGTGAAAAGATTTAAACCTTTACCACACAGTTTCATTAAATTATTAACCATAAAGTGAAATGTATTTACTTGTTCAAATAATTGTTATATTTAATAACAAACAATGTATTTAAACTATAATTAATGCCTTAATTGAACCAGCCAGTTGGACCAGTTGAGCCGAGAACTAAACATCCAATCGGTTCAACTTTCAGACCGGTTATTAAAACATTGACGTGGAGTAATATCTCTATCAAATACAGGGTTTCTCAGAAATGTAACAACCATCCTCTTTTACATGCTCTTCAAAGCAATCTAAAAGAGAACATAAAAAGGAACAATGCTCCTGGAAGTTCTAGCCTTTAATCTACTCCAGGAGTTTAATAGAGTGAGACTTCTATGCAGCTTCCCAAAAGACAGAATTTTAACCATCGTGACAAGAGATTTCTTAGAATCACCATGATAGTCGTAATAGATGTAATACACGTGAAAATGATGAATAACAAGGCATGTAGATTTTAGCATAACACTTTAACAACATTTTTCTACATCAATCACATAGTCGTAAGGGAATAAAATAGAAGAGAAAGGAGAGGACATCATTTCTTCTCCTTAAATGCCTAGTAAAGCACAATTTATAAATATTTGTCCAGTATTTACATGTTGCAGAGTGCAAAAAATCCCCAAATTTGTCAGGAAAAACATCACAAATTCATAGCTCCAATCATTCCAGCTTTGACCCATGCAGATTAAATGTCCCATCACGAGTAAAGGGGAAGAAAGCATCTGGAAGATTTCTTATACTAAGGCCCCGTCTGGTGGCACAGTCCAGTACAGTGGGAAGTAACAGTGGCGTTTTGGCCCCAAACAGAGATCCGGTGCAATGAGAATGAATTCCCACCACACTTGACTATGCCACCGAACATGGCGTAAATAGTGATGTAATTTCATGATGAAGCAATGAAATATAATATATCCATAAAGAACCTTTTAACAAAGAAACTAACAGATTATATTTAGCAAAAGACATAACTACCACATCGGCTGCAAGCTAACAGAACAAGGCAAACTTGAAAGCAGAAAAGCATCTATAAGCTTAAAGAAAGGATATAAATAAATGTTCACGACAGGTAGAAAGTATAATCCAATACCAAAAGGGGTGATACAAAAGTAGAACTCCAACAGGCAAAAGGGTAAAGCTACATGGCATTCTACCAAAATCGGACTTGGATATCACTCAAGGGTGAGGAGAAAGATAATAAACTGTAGTCTCCTAGTTTGCAGAAATGAGTCAAGTGGTATAAAGCTGCAAGAGTTACCAGTAGCAACCCAAGGGAGAACTAAATAAATCATGCACCACAGCCTACATCTTGACGGCTACCTGTTCTGCTGAACTTTTCTTCACAACTCCTCTAGAACACAACTCATTTAGTAACTCCAATGCATCGTTAGCCAAGCCTTCATAAGCTATGCCCTCAATGAGAATGGTGTATGTAGATTCCGTAGGTTTACATCCCCTCATCACCGTGTAAGCCAAAAAGTCAATTGCATGATCAGTCTGCCGAGCCTTACAAAGGCCCAACATGATAGAGTTATAGGTTATGACATTTGGCTTAATACCCATTCTCTCAAAGTCATGAAAAATCTTTATGGCATCATCAACCTTTCCTGCCCTACTAAGTCCTCCAACAAGTGAAGAGTATGCAATTGTATCAGGCTTTAGACCCTTTGCACGCATCTCATCCAAAAGTTTAATAGCTTGATCTGTTTTCCCTACCTTTGAGAGCCTATCAATCACAGTATTGTAAGTGATTAATACAGGCGAGCAACCCTTGGCACTTAGATGATTGAGAATCTCAACTGCCAAATCAACCTTCCCATCTTTGCATAATCCTGTGAGCAAAGTGTTATAGGTCACAATGTCAGGGTAGCAACCTCTAGACACCATTATCTCCAAATACTCAATTGCTCCTTCCATCTTCTTTTCTTTACAGAACCCATGAAGCAAAGGATTATAACTTAAGGAATTAGGAGTACAACCATGCTTGGGCATCTTCTCCAATATGTCAATTGCTCGGCCTAGTAAACCCTTTCGGCATAAGAAATTAATCAGGATATTGAAAGTAACAACACTAGGAGAACAGCCTTTGCGAAGCATATCAGATAACAATCTCTCAGCATCCATCCACCTGCCAGTGCTACACATGCTACGCAAAATAATATTATAAGTAATCACATTGGGTTGGCATCCAAATGATGGCATGCTATTCAAGAACTTGATTGCTTCATCCAATCTCCCCTCCTTACAAATCCCATTGACAAGAACATTATAAGTAACCAAATCTGGTTTACATCCTCTACTCCTCATCTCATCCAAGAGCTTCATAGCTTGTGCAACACCACTTTCCTTGCAAGTTGCTTCGATCAAAATTGTATATGTGATCACATCTGGATAACATTCTCTCTTTAATTGTCGATCCAAAACTTCCATCGCTTGCTTCAACTTTCCACTATCACACAAGCTACGCAAAATTGTATTATATGTAACAACATCTGGAGCAACACTCATTCGATCCAAAACTTGTAAAGCATTTTCAATCTCCCCTGCCCTGCAATACCCACTAATTAACACATTATAAGCTATAACATCAGGAACTGCCCCTGAATCTTCTAAAATCTCCATAACCCGTGTAGCCTTCCTAGTCTTGCCTTTCTTACAAAATTCACGAATTAAACTTGTACACGCTATAATATCAGGAATCTCGCCATGATAAACCATGCCCTCAAGAAGCTTAAACCCTTCTTCCAGTTTAACATTTCTAACAAATTTACAGAGTTGATTATTATTGCTATCAGATTCTTCAAAATTGTGAAAGGAACCAGACGGACGTGACGAAACATGATCATTTCCAAAATCCCCTTGTAGGGAACTTTCAAAATTTTGCAACCTACCATTAACACCAGCACTTTCGACCTTTGAAACAGCAAGGACCCTACATTGCCTTCGCTTTTGGAACCCCACGGGTTTGCAGCCCACAAAAGCCTTTAAAGAAATAAAATTCGCAACAGCTTTAGCCTTAACCCTAGCTTCCAAAAACTTAGTATTTCTTAAACCCTCTCTGTGAATGTATCGAAATGAACAAAACCCTTCATGGGCATGACTTGTGTGTATTATCATATCCATACTTTACCTACAACTTTATAAATAACCAAAATATCAATACTGAAAAACCATCCCTTACAAAAATAAGACTGCACTATTTCAAAGAAACCAGGAAGTTAAAGGCAGTTATTCTACCAGAGTTGTGTGGAGAGAACCCGCCTTTCTTTCGCAGAAAAGTAATAAGCATTCAAATGGGGTTCCTTCTAGAAGTTGAGAGAGAGAGAGAGGTCACCTTGAGATAGGCTTTCTAAAGTGAGAGCTTGAGAGGTGGGAGAGGGCGCCGGCGTTGCGGCTTATCCATTTTTGTTTTCTTCTGGTTATGGTTTCTATAATTATCTGCACCAGTAGCGCCTAAGTGCCCATGTTGAGGCTACTTGGACTTAGAAGGAGATTGGGCTCCAATTCTTATGATTGAGAAAAGCCCAGTAATTCTTTTCCAATATGGGTTCATAGTTCGTACCCATCTCAACAACCACGAGACAACAACCTTGGCTCCCTCGATGATTTTCATCTCAAGGGTCATGGACCTTTTTCTAATTTAAACCATAATATAATAAATGTTATATTTGCTAACAAGAACCATAAATTAATCATAAGAAACCTAAACCATAAGAAAGAATAAAAATTGAATGCTTCAAATTTTATTAAATCAAATTAACTAGTTAAAAGAAATATCACGAGCCAACTGTCCTGACAACACTTAATATGAAGACTGACACAATACTGTAAACACTAGACAGGCATCAAAATTTAAGTGTTAATATCATATTTACTTCATGTATTATAATAAATTATAGTATGTGGTACTTGTAATTTAAGCATATGCAATATGGTGCTTTGTATGATGAATCCATTTATTAATATAGTACGTGTTTTTTAGAGAATATATTATTTATAATAATTGTAATATAATAAATTAATTATAATTTTAAATTATATGAAAATCATAAAATTTTATATAAAATTTATATTTATAAATAATAATTTATTATTATTATTATTGGATAATTATAATATTATAATAAAAATTTTATAAATGAAAATGCTCTTGTATTTTTTAATTCTGTTAACTCTCAACTACCACAAAACATTGGCAATCAAAAGCTATCACATGACGTAAAAGTGGTTTTTTTTAATATCTATAATTTTTTATTTTTATGTTACATTTTCCTTTATAAAAAAAACTGACAAACAAATTTTTTTAAATGCCTAAGCAATTTGATGCTTGTATTTGCTTCTCTATTTTCCTTTAATGTACAATCCTTGGCTTTATGAAGATCTTTAATCAGTTTTATTGTTGATTTTTACAATTGCTTGTGACTTGAAAGTGTGATGAGATTCTGATCATTAAAGAAACAAAAAGCAAATCTTTCAAGTTACGAGGCATGAGATTATTCATGAAGATATAATTTATTCAGCTTCATCTTTTTAGCGTTGCAATGTTTATTGTCACAAATCGATTGGTTATGAATATATAGAGTAATGGATTATATTAAAATAAAGTAATTTAGCAAAATATTTTTTTTTTCTTTGAAGACCTCCATTGATTCACAATCATGCTCAAGAACCTTATTACTCACGAGGCCACTACTATTATAAACCAAGTTATTAATTATTATGCTCTCTCTGATCAAGAACTTTACTGTGTATAATCTCAATTAATATAAAAGATAAATTTTTTATTTCACGTGTTAGAATAGTATTTTCACGGTCCACCCTCCCTTCGAAAATATCTTCGTCTTTTTATCGATAAATTAATTCTCGTGCTTTTGAACCAAGTCTCAAAAAACGACACGTTTCCCTGACAGATACAAAATCCCTTTTTTTTCGTCATTTTTTTTATTTGCAATTGAAAGTTTTTTTTCTCCATGCCTCCAAAACCAAAACCCAAAAGTTAATAAAATAATGAGGCTATGGGATTCTAAAGAACTTCACTGGACGACGTGTCAAAGTCCTGTTCGTTCAGCCTAAAATTGTTGTGGTTTGAGGCTAGTGATCGTGGTCGATATCTTTGATCGACACTTGTCCAGGTGGTTTGTCCCTCGGCCTCGCCCTGGCGCGGTTGGTTTTGCTTGCCTAACCACGTAAGCCAAAATTTTTTTTTTCAATCGGCGTGGAAAGCGGAGACATCGGCGACTAGAACTTAATTTAGCGGCTTTAGCCGGTTTTCGGATGAAAATGAAACGACGGCTTTCTATAAGGACGCATAAAGAGATTTTTAATTTTTAATTTTTTGGAAAACCCCAAAACCTAACAACAAAAACAATCTTTTACACTAATTTTCCCAAAAGCATGGCTTAAGCTTAACCAATGTCTGATTATTGAACAATTTTAATTTGATTAATTAGGTGCGAACCAGATTAAGTGGGGGCATCCTTCATTTACTATCCCCCACATTAACCTATTTAAATGCCCCATTCATCACTCGTCTACTGTTCCCGCTCCTGCTCCAGATATTTTTCTCTCTCTTATTGCGTTCTTTGTTTCTCTTTTTCACCGTCCCTAGATTCTGGTGGTTCAATCTTCTTCGTCTCCTCCAACGTAACAGATCTCATATTTATTTTCTCGAATTTCCTCGTTTTTCTTTGTTATTTTATTGATTCATCGAAAAAATTCGCAGATCGTTATTTCTTTTTCGTTTTTATTTAGGGTTTTCTTTATTGTCTTTAAACGTGAAAGCTGATTCGTTTTCCTTGAAGCAATTTGTTGTTTGGGATTTTTGCGAACTGTTAATTTGTTTTGATTCGGAATTTGTTACTTATGGCGGTTTAAAACTTTGTTTTGCAGTCACTTTTGTTTAAAATCGTTTGGTTACTTAGAAAGTGATTGAAAAAGAAAGCCATAAGATAATTGTTCTGTTTGCTGAAAACGTTTCTACAATAATCTGTCTTTGACATATTTTCTCCTTGAACGAAACATATCTGTTTTTTTTCTCGAATTTTCTCTTTTTCTTTGGTTATTTTCTTGATTCACCTAAAAAATTCGCTGGTAGATCGTTATTTTTTTATTGTTTGAGATTTTAACGATCTATTAATTTTTTGTTTGTTGGGAATTTGTTACCGATGGCGTTTTAAAACTTTGTTTTGCCGTGACTTTTGTTTACAATCTGTTTGGTTACTTAGAAAGTGATTGAAAAAGAAAGCCATAAGAGAATCTTTCTGTTTGTTGCAAAACGTTTCTACACTAAATCGTTTTTGACATATTTTCTCCTTGAACGAAACAGATCTCTCTTTTTTCTCGAACTTTTTCGTTTTTCTTTGGTTCGTTTCTTGATTCACTTCAAAATTTTGCAGTTAGATCGATTTTTCTTTTTTGTTTTTCGATTTGAGTTTGCATTCTCGTCTTTAAACGTGAATGCTGATTCGTTTTCGTGAAGTAATTTGTTGTTTGAGATTTTTAGGATCTGTTAATTTGTTTTGATTCAGAATATGTTACTGATGGCTGTTTAAAACTTTGTTTTGCAGTTACTTTTGTTTAAAATCTGTCTGGTTACTGAAAAGTGATCGAAGAAGAAAGCCATAAGAGAATAATTTTGTTTGTTGAAAACGTTTCTATACTATTCCTTTCTTGACATATTTTCTCCTTAAACGAAACAGATCTCTATTTTTTTCTCGAACTTTCTCGTTTTTCTTTGGTTCTTTTCTCGATTCACCTCAAAAATTCGCAGCTAGATCTTTTTTTTTTTTTTTTGAGTTTGCATTCTAGTCTTTAACGTGAATGCTGATCGTTTTCTGTGAAGTAATTTGTTGTTTGAGATTTCTACGAACCGTTAATATGTATTGATTTGGAGTTTGTTAATGATGGCGGTTTAAAACTTTGTTTTGCAGTTACTTTTGTTTAAAATCCGTGCGGTTACAGAGAAAATAATTGAAAAAGAAAGCCATAAGAGAATCGTTCTTTTTGTTGAAAATGTTTCTACAATAATCCGTTTTTGACATATTTTCTCAAATTTTCTCGGCTACGAAGTGGAGAAACGGAGTGTTTTAGGTCTACGGTAGAAATACTGTTGTGAAATCTATAGCTAGCATTTTCTTTCTCTTTATTAAATTTTCGAAAGAATTAATTGCCGTAGGAATTTTGACATTTTAAACTATTTTCAGGTGACATTAAGAGGGGGGAGAGTTTTATACTCAAAGCTGATTAGCTTTTGGTATCCTGGTAATTTTTATGATTATTATTCTTATCTTTTTAAAATTATCATCTCAAGCCGTTTTCTGAATATTGTTTTAGTACAGTTTGCCGTTCTTTAGTTTTGGTTGGGTCACTACAAATCAATTATTTGATTGTATCACCTTAGCTTCAAATTTAATTTTGTATTACTGAATGAGCTTTGTGTGTCCTTTTTTACATTGAGATGCGAAAGCTATGTCATAGCATACACGTTTTCACACAGTTCTTATCTCTTTCACATTACATTTAATTTTGTAATCTTACTGTATTTTATGCTTTGACTGTTTGAGAATCATCATTAATAAGGGATTATAAGGTGTATGGTGTTAGTCCATGGTTGTTTCAATAAAACAGTCATAGCAAAACACATAAAAATATTGTGATAATGGCTGTCGTTGTTCTCACGCTAGATTTTTCGGTGCATACAATTGCTTGTCATTAAACACTTGCCTAAATACATGAACATTACTTTTTAGAGGCAGCTCTTGATGTGTACTGTGTAGCAAGACGTTGTATGCATGAGTTTTATGTGTAATTAGCAGTAAGGCTACCTTTGTTGTGTGTGCTGTATCTTTTTACTAGAGTCTAACTGTAATGAAACTGATTTTGCTTTTCATTGAAGTTCTTTTGACATAGGAGGAGGAAGGTGGGTTGGGTGCTAAATGATAGGTTTTGTATTTGAGAAAGTTATTGAGTTTCTAAGTGTTCTTTTTCTGTTTTAATTGCTGCTATATTGCTGATGATGTACTCCCTTCACTGGATCTAGTGAGTGGTTTTTTGCCTTGCTTTTAACATGTTACATAACTCAAAAGCTCTATGTGGAACATGATTTTTGCAAGCTTTTAGTTTCAATGAGAATGTTAAACTTGCTGGCTACTGTAAGATGGCATGATGTTGTTGGATAAGAGATCTTGACAATATGTAAAACATAGGAATTGGTTTTGGAATATAGAGATGGAGGGTGCCTTTCATGCTTTTTTCCACACCAATTCCTATCAATATTAGTCAAGTTACTCATATTATTGTATTAGCATTGGGGATAGTGCCTTGTTTGATAACTTTTTGTTTCCAATTTTGTTGCTTCTGGATATGATTGGGGGGCAAGTTGATATATTCCTTTCCAGTTTGAGCTGATTGGTATGCATATCGTTATTGTTAATTTCTTAAATAAGCTCTTTTAGCTTTATGATTAGTATATAGCAATGCTTGTATCATGCTCTGAAATGGGGAGAAGTTGTTGGACTCAACGAGTTCCAATAATTTAGATGTAGAAACAAGACATAGCTTATAACCAAGTTGAAGTGAGCAAAAGGATTGATGTAGCTGGCTAGATTGAGATTAAGGCTCACTTTAGTAAGTTGTGGAGTGGCAGCAAATTCTCAATATATTTTGAGACACAAGTAATTGTGGAAAAACTAAGAAATAAAATTGTGTAGAAAACTAAGAGTAAAATTGAATGTATATTAAAAAACTGCTCATTAGGAATTATACAAGCACCTTAGGTTTATATAAAACTAACTAGTGGATGAATTAGGAAACTAAATCTTTCGTAAAACTGATCCTATAATTGAGAGATTGTTGTAATTTTCTGTTTTTAATTTTAGGGATACAAACATTTAATTCTAGAGATACAAATATAAATATACAGATTACAAGATTATGACCAGCTGTAAATAAGTGTTTTCTCACAGTAATGTCTAAGTTTCACTGATAAATCATATCCATTATCCTAATACTTATATCAGTTCTTGAAGCAGATGAATGTAAACTCCTAAGACCATGCAGGCAAGTGTTGGATATGGGATGACACAGGTTTAATTTTGGTGTCTTGAATGGCTGTGAATTAGTATGGGTGCCTTGCAAATAACAACTTCAGATCATTTAATCTGCAAAAGATATAGTTTGAAACAAATCAAGTTGTAATAAATTTTAACATGCGTGAGCTGTGCTGGATTTTTCTCTCCAAACCTTATGGTTAGCCCTACCTCCACAGAATTGGAACACACTACTCATTATATGCATTGGAAATTGGAGGAAGAGAAGAGTTTTGAAGATCAAGATTATAGAAGCTCTTTCTAAATGGGAATTAGTAGTTTTTTTGTGTCTATATGTTGGAAAACTTTCCTTGCTGCTTTAAGACCAGTTCTTCAAGTCCTACTAATTCATGTTTTCGGGTGCCTTAATTCTTTGTGAGAGGGTGATGAGCAAATTATTAATGTTTCCTTTTCTTTCCTCATGCATTAATATAATCTTGTGTTTATTTCCCTGCTTTTCTCTTCATTTAACTTGTTTCCTGTTTGCTTTCATTCTTTTTTTTTTTTTTTTTCTTTTCACTATGCTTGAATATGTCTCTCGATGAATAGCCTTGCTTCATTTGAATAAGTTTTAATCTTCCAAATGGAATTCTAAGGTATTTGTTTGATATGCGTGTCCAAAACAGGTACTATAAGAAAAATAAAGAGATGGATCAACATTAGAATATAACTAAACTTAATTGAAAGGTACATATCTAAGTTCTATTTTGCTCTAGTTATAATTGCAGTTTATTTTACAATTCAAAGTTAGGTTATTTTGATAGTCTATAATTGTTTTGATGTGTTTCATTTCAACATGTTGCAACCCCCCTCCTTTATCTGGGCTTGGAACCAGCTGTGATCTTAGATATAGGCATGTAGTGTGGCCACGGGCTGAGTTATTGCAACATATGGTTATAATTCATTGTTAAATATGCTGATTCCTTGTTTTGCAAACTCTATTTTTATGACATTTCTAGCATTGGGTTCTGAATCTTCTTTGGGACGCTTGTATGCTGCCAGCTGTTGCTGTACTCTGCTATGATGCTTGTGGGCTTTTAAATGCATCCTGAAGCTACTTTTAAGGCCCAATTTCTGGCCAACAGGTTACTGTGTATGCTGGTTATGTGAATGCAACCTGTTCTTAGGGAAAATGGTCATAGGTTTTAATCCATGAAGAATATACATGTGCATGTTTAAGTCAGGCAGTAAACTAGGAACATGATCTTATGGTTTACGTAATTGCCTTATTTATTATCAGTTCACATTAACTAATCATGTTATGTATTAATTACTGAAGAAACTTGTTTTCGCCTCCTTTTTGCATAGTTTTGATAAAGTATTATAACAAGGCAAATATCTTTTGATAGGGTACCTTGGTCTCATATCGTTTTATGAGCCATTCTTTTTGTGTTGCTGATCATGGCATCAGTTGTCTGTTTTCTATGTAATGAAGGAGAAAAAGGTGCGTACAGTTACTTCGTCTTGGTTTTATCATTGAAAAATGAGTCGTAGTAAAACTACAATGAGTTGAGTCTTTCCAGTACTTGTTGGTGATGCTTGTATAGTTCATTGTTGTTTGTAGCTTCACCTATCTAAATATTAATACCTTTCTGAAGCACCCTGTTACTGTCATTTTTGTTCCTGAGATGACAACTATATTAAGTTTTTCCCTTATCAAAATTAACCAAAATAAGTGTTAACTGTGATCTCCATTGTCAATTATTCTAATACTGCAAAAAAGTGAACTACACACACAGAATACAATGTCCAATTTCTCTTTTTTTATATTTATTTTATTTATTACACAATTGATCTTTACATAACTAGCTGGTCTTCTTGATCATCACACACATTCTTAAGTTCATTTGTTTAATCATTTCAAACTAATTTCGAATTGCTGAATGATCGGTGGTTTTAACGTACCACATCTTACCATGAGAAACATAACTTTTGGAAGCATGAGCTATTTGTTGATAGAAGTTGAGTGACATCAAATCCCACTTTAGTGCATCTGGTTTTTCTAATGCAATTGCAGTCCGCTGCAGTTACCATGAAAAAAGTTGGAGATCAAATTGTGTTAATGGTAATTGGTCTTTTAATCGAAATATTCTACCATACAGAGGAAAATATACCCCAAATTTGTAGCTCTTGCTGGTGTCTTGTAGTTTTCTAGCCGTGGCTGGCTTAGCTGGAGATGGACAGGTACATGTGAGTCCTCCCCACTGCCTAGACGATTTTCAAGAAGGGAGTCTTTGTATGCACAATTCACATCCCTTGTTCCATAAACCTGGGATGTGAAACTTTTCTGTTAGAGGTTTTGATTTTTAGAATGTCACATAACTGACAAAGGTTTAATGGTTGAATCTGTTTAATCTTTCAAGGATAATTGAGATTTTATGAGCCATTCAAATTTATACCTTCTTATATAATTCCATGTTTTCTTGACGAATTAGGTTTACCTTCTTATAGAGTTCCACATTTTCATGATGAATGAGGTTCCCCTGCAATTAGACAATATAATTTAGCCACTTGAGCTGAGACAGTAATGTAGTAAGGAGCTGAATTTATTTTTTCAGGGTTTACCTTTCTGTTCAATTCTTGAATTTCATCCATTAAAGTTTGGTCCTGCAGTAGTGGAGAAATGTTACTAACATGGAGTTGCTTTCTTTTGCATGCTATTTTAAACTTAAAAAACTGAGTATGAGATGGAAATGAGAATTTCAAACCTTCTTCATACGAACACCACGAAGACTCATTTCTAATTGGCTCTCCAAATTCTGTAGATCTTTTACACTCATTCCAGAAAGTTCTTCACCCATTATTTGCCTGTTTTGGTGTTGCAGAAGCATAATTTTGGTCCATGACATTTGTATGTTTGACATTAAAAGCTTTTCTTAGGCATATACATGAGACGCAATGATTCGTTAACTTTCTATTCTTGGTGCCATTTCTAGTGCTGATTCATTTGATGCTGTAAGTTTAGATATGAAATCTGCTTTTTGCAGAATAGAAATTATTGTCTAGGACCATTAATCTCTGTGTTCATCTTAATTGAAGAATGGATGATTCATTCAATCAGATCTTCAAAAATATTAACCATGCCATGAAGGATAGAACATCATTAGCATAATTGCATTATAAAAGGTTGGAATAAATAGTGATAACAGGTTAAAGGAGAAAGAAACTCTTATTTTAGAAAATCATGTTATTGGGTGAAAAGCGGGAGGTTGTCTATGTTGAATTCAGACATGTGGGCTTAAGCTGTATTCTGAAGACTGCCTAATGTAAAAATGGTTTCTTGATCCTACAACTTTGGCTTATTTTTCTTTTCCAATGATGTTTGATATGATGATTTTGTATTGTCAACAAATCAACATACCTGTGATTTTCTTGCAGCTTTTGCAGTTGGTGTCTAAGAATTGCTGCCTCCCTTTGCCAGAACTGAGTTCATGATGTGGTAAGATTCACAGTGCACAGTTTTTATTGCTAAAAGTGTGAATATGCAATATATAACTTTGATACTGAAATATCACAATAACCATGCATATATATAGACTTGACAATGCTCTGAGATCTGAATGACCGCTAAAATCTTTGGCAGTTTACAACACAGTCAAATATCTCAAGATCTTAAGATCCAAGGTTTGTGCTATAGAAAGTTGCATTATGAGTTCAATTAATGTGTTAGTGGAAGCAGGAAATTTGATAGTTTAATTATTTGGATGATAAGTAACTTTTCAAGTTCTTGGTGTACTTTCCAGAGTTAGGGACATTCTTAGGTCTTGTTGCAGATGCATAATTCTTTTTTTTTTTTTTAATATTGCCTTATCAAGCAACTTTGCAAGTAAAAGTCGGCTGTTAGAGCCAGAACTTTTCAAAATCCCATGTGAAATTTATATGCACCAATAGATGCTCTTTCTTCTGGATATTGCAAAATACAAACTTTCTTTTGGTAATATGATTTCTATTTGGAGATTGGAGAATGCTTCTAGCTTTTTATGTCACCAGTAAAAAGTTTAAAACCATAAAAAGGGTGCAGATGTGAATTCCAAAGTTGATAGATCATGGAATTGGACTAGAAGCAATGAATGTCAACATCTATTTTGAATTTGGAGCTGTCCATGGTTATGATTTTTAAGAGGAAGTGTATGCCTATTTTGAAGCACAAAAGAGATGAAGAGATCGCATCTGGAAATTGATAGTCTTCAGGAAAGGGTAATTGTAAGGATTTTCCTATTTTTTAAGGTAACTGATTGTTGAAACTTTAATAGGCTAAGAGATGAACAAACCCCTAATTTTTGGATTGCCTGATCAAGCAACTTATCATGTAAAATTAGGCTGTTTGAGCTAACATTGTTTTAATATCGCATCTAAAATTTATATGCACCGATAGATGCTTTTTTCTTTTGGATATTGCAAAGTACAAACTTTCTTCCTGGAGTAATATGATTTCTTTTTGGAGATTGGAGAAGGCTTCTAGCTTTTATTTAAATCACCAGTAAAAAGTTTAAGAGCATAAAAGAGGGGGAGAGATGAATTCCAAAGTAGATAGATCATAGATGAGTCTCTGGATTTGGACTAGAAGAAAGGAATGGTAAGGTGTATTTTGCCCTTGGAATATGTTGTTGACTTTGGAGCTGTCTATGAATATGGTTTGTTGGACACAGCTTTTGCCTATTTTGAGGCATAAAAGGGATTGAAGAAATTGGCTTCTTAAGAAAATTGATGAAGTCTTTAGGAAAGCTGTAATTGTAATATTTTTTAAGGTAACTAATTGTTGAAACATTCACAGGCAAAGAGATGAAAATGCCCCTGATTTTTAGATTACCTGATCCAGCGTCTTAGCTAGTAGGCTGTTACAGCTCAGAATGCCATGTGAAATTTATATGCTCTGATAGATGCTCTTTCTTCTGGATCTTGGACAGTTAAAAATTTCTTGTTGGAGAAATATTGGTTTTATTTGGATATTGGAGAAGGCTAGATGAGTCTTTGGTTTTGGTCTAGAAACAAGGAATTGCAATGTTTATTTTGCCCTTGGAATAAGTAGTCGACTTTGGAGCTGTCCTTGAATATGATTTGTTGGAAGCAGCTTTTGCCTGCTTTGAGACATAAAAGAGATGAAGAGATGGCTGCTCAAGAAAATTGATGAAGTCTTTAGTAAAGGGGTAATCATAATGATTTTCCTATTTTTTAAGGTAGTTCACTGATGATTTTTTAGATTGCATGGTCAAGCAACTTAGCAAGTAGGCTGTTAGAACTAACACCTTTTAAAAATCCCATGTGAAATTTACATGCACCATAGATACCTTTTCTTATAGACAGTACAAAATACAAACTTTCGTCTTGTGAGTAAAATGATTTTCTATTCAGAGATTGGAGAATTCTAGCTTCTCTGTATATCACTGGTAAAAAGTTTAAAAGGGCATAAAAGAGGTGGCTTTTTCCAATTTTCAGGCATTAAAGAGATTTAAGAGATGGCTGCTCAAGAAAATTGATTAAGCCTTTAGGATAGGGGTAATTGTAATGATTTTCCTATGTTTTAATGCAACTGCTTGTTGAGACGTTAATGGGCAAAGAGATTAAAACACCCCTAATTTTTTAGATTGCGTGATCAAGCAACTTAGCCTGTAGGCTTTAAGAGCTAACAACTTTTCAAAATGCCATGTGAAATTTATATGCACCATGGATTTTTTTTTTCTTCTGGATGTTACAAATTACAAACTTTTTTCTTAGAGTAATATGATTTCTATTTGGAGATTGGAGAAATCTATCTTCTATGTATATCACTGCTAATAAGTTTAAAAGATAAAGAGGTAGAGATATGAATTCCGAAGTAGAGAGATCATGGGTGATTCTGTGGATTTGGCCTAGAAGCAAGCAATGACAAGGTCTATTTTTGAGGCATAAAAGAGATGAAGAGGTGGCTTCTCAAGAAAATTAAGTCCTTAGGGAAATGGGTAATTGTAAGGATTTTCCTATTTTTTAAGGTATCTGCTTGTTGAATTGTTAATAGACCCTATTAGGGGATCAGCTCGAACGAACTTATAATGATATAAACAGAAGAGAAAGATAAAGTAGGTTTTAAGTGATTTAAACACAAGGGAAAGATAAAGAAATTATCTTAGCATAGCTAGAAATTATCTCATCATGGTGTTTGTTTTTTATTAGTTGCAAAAAAATTTCTTGCTAATTGTGCCTGTCTTTTACAAATTACATCGTACCAGAAAAAGGAGGATTTTGGTGGGTATATGATCAAAGAAAGATTTAGTCGCAGCTTAAACATAAATTTGAGCAGGTACATGGTTTAGCTTTTATAAACATTATTGTATAATTTGATGAGATGCATGAACCAAAGTTAATTTAAATGTTTCCTAGCCATACTGTGGAAAAAGCGAAGTGTTGGGTTACTCAAAATGATTCCTATTTACCATGATCTCACCATTAGCTACTAATCTGCTTCCTAGCATTTGTCATGTTGCTGATGTACACCCTGTGCCCTCATTTCTTTTCCTTGATTTCCAATTTCTATCTTATTCTTATTCTTTCCATCATCCTGTAGCCATGAGAACAACAGTCCTAGCATGGCAATTTAGTGCATGCATGCAATTAGTCATTCCTTTTCCAACACTCAGAAGAGTTAATGGAATGTATCTAAATCAATTATCATTTCAGGTTCTAGTGCTGCCAAGTTATTTTTAATAGTTGCATGAAATGTAGACCTGAAAGAAATGTCTAGCTACAAATTTTTGCAAGCACTTCTGTGTCAGTACCTTCTACCCACTGCCAACCTGGAAAAAGTCTTGTTTGTTTCTCAACTGGTTCTATTTTTTGTTCGGCTAAAACAGTATATGCAAAGTTGGGAATGTTGAATTTCTCAGAACAAATTTCCAGGTATGCAAGGTTTGGTAAATCGAGTAGAGATTTGTTTAGCCTTGCAGTGTCATCTTTTCTTTATCCAATAGAAGCAAATGCAAGCAAATTCACTGATAATAAAACTACTTATTGGTCATGCTCTAAAGGGTAAAATACAGGAAATTTGAGGTTTTAAGTACCAGAGAATACCTTGACCTCAGAGGTTGGGTTCCCCAGTTGATGTTCCTCTGTTTTGTTGTATCGCTCAATTACTGATCTCATGCTGGCAAGAGAAGATTTGAATTGCATCAGACTTTCTGTAATTTCTAAGTGATACAGGAGAGGAAAAAAAAAGGGACAAAATGATGAGCACATAACTTTCAAAATCTCCAAACATGGGCTCTAGATAATTTTTTATTTTCAACTTGACTGCTTTTGTTTTTTCTTTTATCTCTCTTTAGAATCTTCTTCTTTCCACGTTTATTTAAAATTGTTGTATCTTACAAAGTTGTGATTATATTAGTCATGCACAGCTTCATTCGAGAAAGACAAGCCAGCAAGTAAACAGAACAACTGAACTTACGATCCTAAAAGTAAGTTTTCTTTTTGATTAATTATGAAAGTTGAAGTCTTAGATTAGTCAAAATGTTCTCCATGCTTGCTTTATTTAATCTTAGTACTTAGCTGTCCAACTGTACCATCTTAACTACACAGATTGCATTCTTGGTAAAATATATTTTTTTCTTTTAATCTCCTTTTCCACACTTTACCTCCCACACTTTTGCGAATTTGATTATTAAAGAGGTTGTCTGTCTGGCAGAAATTATTTGTCATTTCAAGAAAGGATCATTGATCCCGTTGTTATATATGTTAAACTCTCCATGATTCTTTACTACGAGTAGGAGAGTATAAGATGGAGCTTGTTTGACTTCTTGACCTCAAGGTGTACATGTTTCTTTGCTATCTAATTTGTGTGGTGTTTTGTCTTGAGCTGCTGTTGACATGGATGTTATTTCATTTATTACTTTCAGATTTCGCTGTTTTTTGCTAGTGGTTTTGTTTTTGGTTATCCAAGCTCATCTTCTTTCCATGGAAACCGTATGTGCAAGCAAGGATCATTTATGTTTTCTTATGCAACCTCAAAAGCAAATTTGAACTTGAATACATGAACAAGTTTGATTAAAAAATTTGAGCTTTTTCAAATTCAATATTTCTTAAATGAACAATTGAGTTTAACTTTTTTAGGTCCCATTTGATTTTTTTTATTATTTACTCTTTTTATAAAAAAATTGAAAGAAAATCTAAGTAAAATATTATAATTACTCTCATGGTTTCAATCAATGATGAGTTTTGTTTTTGGTAAAAAGATGATGTCTAACTTATTAATATTTGAACTTGTTAGAAAATTGGATGAACAACCTTGAATGAGTTATTTGTTCAAGGCATCAATCTGAGCATATTTATATCCTTAGATGGTGATGTTCCTTTTCTTCCTTTTACTAACCTTTTAAAAAACTTTTTTAAAAAAAAAAGTAGAAGGTAAATTGTCATATGTTCACTTCCTATCTATCATATTTTTCTTGTAAACTCATCTATGCTTCAACATAAAGTTTTTATAATGCATTCACTTTCTTAGCTTTTGTTTTCTTTCTTGTGGTTCATTGCAAATACTTAGAAATTAAGTAGGTTAATCACATAAAGGTTTTACTGGTAACTTTTAAGCACAACTTAATTGTTCAAAATTATCTTCATTTAATTTGGTGAAGATTATCAATTTGATGATAAACCAATATCTTTTACTTAAGATCTCAAATGTGCCTTTATGTCAACTGTCAACATATGAAATGAGAAAAATTTTAGATATTTGAGGTTGTTAAAAATTGGTAATTAGTAAAAGTTTAAGATTTTATCAACATATCATAATTTGTTAATAATAAAATCACCTTAGTCAATAAAACTATTTTTAAGTGCCTAAAGGTTTACCTCAATGGTTAAATTGAAGGCTTTTTAAATAAGTTGATTCCAAATTTTAGGATGAAATTTGAGAATTTTTATTTCGCTAATATGAAAAAAAAATTATTTCAACATTATCCAAAAGTTTTAAAGTATAATAATTTTTGTTCTTGTCAACATGTGCTTTATGAGCTGAAATTTATGTCTTTTGATGGTTATAGATGCGAAGGGTTACAACATGTGCATCTAGAAATGAAGGCAAAAGTTGCCACGATGTTTCAACCAGCTAGGTAATGTATATTTTTATGATCTCTTTCTACTCATTTGATAAGCTATGGGACGCAGATGATATGAGAGTGAAGATTTTTTAGATAAATTTAGATGCTTATATAAATTTCTAAGAAATTCGGGGTAACAAAACCTAGAAAGCCTCATCATGTTGATATAGTTTTGACAACATTAAACAATGATTACGTTGATGATGATAATGACAATGATTTGGAAAGAGTTAAAACCTAATGGAAAGCTGACAGAGAAGGGAATAAAGATGATTCAAAAGAAGCCTAAGGGTTATGATTGTTGAAATCGACACGAAGCAAGATCCCACTAATCTTTTGGTTTATCTCGTTGTAAGCATAAGAAGGTGATAGATTTTATTTTTCGACTTGATAAATTGGTTGATTATATAATTATGAAAATCTAATATTCATTATTACTAGATTAATTGATTGTTTATTTTAGTTAAGTTTCTTATTTTTAGAATAAGGAGTGATTTGGATAATTACACCAATTTCATTAGATATTTTTCCATTGTGTGTAAAGATTAGTTGTTTTTAATGCATGAAAATCTTAAGTTTTAAGGCTGAGAATATTTAATTTTTAGGTTATATATTTTCATGCAATTCTAGCATTGTAATAAGAAAAATATAGAAAAATAAAATAGTTTTATTTTAGAAATTCCTTCATGGTATCAAAGTACGATATGGACTTTTGAAAATTTTCACTTAGAGTCTAGTATGGCAGTGGAAGAGAGAGCTCGACGTAAAAGGATCTTTAGTTTCGGAGTTAGCATTTCCCGATCACTGTAAAACATTTCCACCTTTATTTGAACAGGTTTAGTACAAAAAGGTAATTTTTTAAGTGTCTTGAGTGTAAAAGTAGAGAAATCAAATTCATGAATTGTGGATTCAAGAGCTTCAATGCTAGGGATGCATCTATATTTAGTAAATACAACTCGGAAAATTTCACAGTTCAAATTATTGATCGGTCACTCTTAAGTAGTTGGTATAGGTTTTGTTATTATTTTCAAAGAAATAACACTTGATTTTGTTTTGTTTGCCCCAAATCTAAATTACAATATACTGTCTATAAGCAAACTTACAAGAGACTTTAAGTGTTACTAAATTTCTTTCAAATATGGGTGAATTTTAGGATATGGACTTAGGAAAGATGATTGGCAAAGATAAGGTGTGTGTAGGATTTTATATCATAAGAGCTAATGATTTTGGAGAGAATATTAAAATACCTTTTGTGTCGCTTCATTTTTCATAATAATAAAGATAGTTCTCTCATGTTGTGGCACTATTGGTTAGGTCATCTAAATGTTTTGTACTTCAAAAGGTTATTTTCCTCATTATTCAATAAAAATCCTAACAACTTTCAGTGTGAAGTGTGCCAACTATCCGAACATCTCTGTACCACATCCTAATTAGCCTTACAAATCATCTTATCCTTTTTCGATGGTACATAGTGACATTTGGGGTCCCTCCAGAGTATAACATTATTGAGTCCATATGGTTTTACATTTATTGATGATTACACAACAATTTCTTGTATTCGTTATGAAGGAATCTATTCCAAAACTTAAACAATATGATCCAACTCAATTTAAAGCCAAAATTTAGGTGTTAAGAACCGACAATGGGAAAGAATACTCCAATTCAATCTTTGGATCATATCTAATGAAGCATGGTATAATTCATCAAAGCTCATGTGTCGATACTTTTCAACAGAATGTTGATAAAAGAAATAATCAACATTTGTTGGAAGTTGCAAGATCTTCATGCTGCCAATGTACCCAAGTAATTTTGAGGTGAGGTTGTTCTTATTGCTATATATCTTACAAATATAATGCCTTTTCGACTCTTGAAATTTCAAAGCTCTTGCCAATCCCTTCTCAATGCCCATCCTCTTTGAATCATCTTATTTATTCCTATTAAAGTGTTTGGATGCATTATATTTGTTCTTACTTGCCAACAAAACTAAAGCAAATTAGATCTCAAATCCATCAAATACATATTTTTCGGATGCTCTTCGAATAAAAAAAAAATGTGTTACTCGCCAGTAACAAAGAAATTCAACCATTCCATGAATGTAACTTTTTTTGAAAATCAACCTTACCTTTCAAAAAGTGCCATTCAGGGGGAAAATCCACTCACATGGGAATATCAGCTTTGGGAAGAGCCTATTACCAAACCACCAAACACTTCTTAAACTCATTTTCACATCCAAAACATCCAAGCTGATCCTTCAAGCCCGAAGTCCACACAAGGGAAAACAAACAGAATTGATTGTCTATTCATAAAGAGATAAAACTTAGAAGGATTTGGCAGAATGTACACCTTCAAAGCAAAACCAACAATCTGAACCGATTCTAGAGATGGTTGAAACCAACACAATTAACATTCTTACTAAATTTGATTCAATTGAATCTTTTGATGATCTTGATCAATCGAATGCTCCAAGGAAAAGTGTGAGATCATGTACTCAACACTCAATTTGTAATGTGATTTTTATGAAGGTTTATCGCCTAGTTATTGGGCTTTTGTTACTACGCTAAACAATATGCATATTTCCAATAATATTCATGAAGCACTCATGCAACAAAATGGAAGATAGTTGTTTTGGAAGAAATCAGGGGCATAGAAAAAAATAAAACATGTGAGATTTCAGAACTATTCAAAAGGAAAAATCCAGTTGGGAGCAAATGGATTTTTACTATTAAGTACAATGCAGATGGAAGTTTTAACAGATTCAAAGCTTGCATTGTTGCAAAAGGATTTACTCAATCTTAATAGTGTTGACTATGATGATACATTTGTTCCAGTGGGTAAATTTAATTCAATCCGGGTGCTATTATCATTGGCAACAAATTTAGAGTGGCCATTCCACCAACTAGGTGTGAGAGATGCATTTCTTAATTGTGCCCTCGAAGAAAAAGTTTATATGAAAAGCCTTTTAGGATTCAAAAACTAGGACAATTCTGGCAAGGGATGTAAATTTCAAAAGTTTTTATATGCTTTCAAACAATCTCCACGTGCATAGTTTGATAGAGTAGCGAAAGTGGTGAAGAAGTATGTTTTTTCACAATGCCAAATTGATCACATAATGTTTGTCAAACATTCACTTGAAGGAAAAATAGTTAGTCTATGTGGATGACATTATTTTTATTGGAGATTGTGAAAGAAATTAGCAACCTAAAGAATCTCGTAGCCAAAGAATTTGAAATCAAAGATTTGGGACTTTTCAAATATTTTCTTGGCATAGTGGTAGCTCGCTTAAAGAATGGTATCTCTTTGTCACAACGTTTGTACTAGACTTTCTTAAGGAAATTGGAATGCTTGGATGCAAACATGTTGACACCCCTATGGACACAATGAATAAGGGAGGAATGGAAGAAGGAAATCCACCAACAGCTTAGGGCAGATATCAAAGACTTGTAGGAAAACTCATCTACTTCTCTCATACAAGATCAGATATCAATTTTTCGGTTAGCATGGTAAGTAGATTCATGAACAACCCAATCGAGGTACAGTTGAAGGTTGTGTATTGAATCTTATAGTACCTAAAGAGAGTCTTAGCAAAGGGTTATTTTTTAAAAAGACATCATCTGGAAATGTTGAAATTTACACTGATGCTAATTGGGTTGGATCCGTTATTGATTGAAGATCAACTACTGGTTATTGTATACATGTGGGAAAATTTGATTACTTGGCGAAGCCAAAAGCAATTCGTAGTGGCTAGAAGTCGCGCGGAAGTTGGGTTTAGAGCTATGTCTCATGGCATATGCGAGGGAATTTGGCTAAAAAGGTTGCTTGTGGAGTTAAAGGTTTCTGTAGAGGAATTCATGAAGATATTTTGTGACAACAAAATTGCCATAAGTATAGCAAAGAATCCCATGCATTATGATAGGACTAAACATGTGGGGATTGATCGTCATTTCATCTAAAAGAGGAAAGGAAGGGATTGTCAGATTAGTATATACTCTCATATGCCTCCAATCTACAGACGTGCACTAAAACTCTCTTGAAACAATTTTGAGAATTTGAGTCTAAAATAGGCATGATTGACATTTACCAACCAGCGTAATGGGGAGTGAAAATCTAATCTTCATTAATACTTAATTAATTGATTTTGTTTATTCTTGTTAAGTTTTTTATTTTTAGAATGAGGAGTGATTTGAATAATTATATCAAATATATTAGATATTTTTCTGTTATGTGTAGAAATTAATTGTTTTTAATGAATGAAAATCTCGGGTTTTAAGGATGAGAATATATGTTTTCATGTAGTTCTAGCATTATAATGAGAAAAATATAGATGAATAAAATGGTTTATTTTAGAGAGTTCTTCATATAAATTTTTTATTGGTTCGAGAAATTAAAAAGTGAATGGCAAACAGCAAGAAATTCAAATTCAAAACTTTGCTAATTACTAAGACATCTCAAGTAGTGGTGGTAGGCTGTTTACTTGGAGGAAGATGTTTAGGACGAGTTTGTCAAACTCGCATATTTGAGTATATGTTTATGTTGTTAACTTTTGTTTGCTTATTGATTTTATAACAATTGGAAGTTTGAATTTGCGAGATGGATAGGTGAAAGAAAATTTTGAAATATTACTATCTTGCATGGTCAAATGGAAAATTTTTATCAAAGCTTGATTTTTGGATTGACTGAACTAATGTGCTATAATCCATGATTGTTCTAAGAAATGTGATTCTAACTTCTTTTCTTTTGTTTGCATAATTTTAATACTTGAAATTGAGTGCTCAATGTCTGTTGCTCCATCTAAATATCGTTATCATGTTAGTTTAACATTTAAGCTTCATTGTAAATATTTATATAGCATTATGTTGTAACTTACAATTTTAGTTTTAAGCTTAATTTACTTTATAAGTTTATTTGTAAGGTTGATTTTAGTATTGATGAGAAATTGGACCAACCTTATTGAAGTTGTATTTTGCAAAATTTCATCAAACAATAGCCAGTTGGAAGTTTAGGATCGTGCAACCTTTTGTTTTTCGGGAAAACATGTTACAATGAAGGTATTAAAATGATTTGACTTGGTGGTTTTTTTTCTGTTGTTATCAATAGCTTTGCAACTATTGCTATTGTGTGAGTTCCTATTTACTAGGTGATCATTTTGATATTGGAAGTAGGCTTTTAAATTGCTCACTCTACTCTTTACTTTTGATGAGCAAATTATATATGCTCGAATACTGCTGCAGTTTTAATTTTATAGCGTTTCTCTATAGCTGTAACTTTGACAATGGTATTTGTACTTAAGGCTATTTGTTCCTCTTTATTGCTGGCTACCTGAGTAGTCGAAGGGTTTGGCTTTGGATTCTTAAAAAGATTGTAATTTTAGTTTGGTTAGCATCTTATGCGGATTATCATGATTATCATGATAGATTTGGTTATTTTGATTAGTTTCTACGGATTATCATGGGAAATTTTTTTTCGCTATGTTAGTTTTCATGCCTTTAATTATCCCATAAACTTAACTTCGAAAGGTATTATTTGTTAGTTGGGGTTTTGCATCCTTCAACTAAATCAGAAATTTTATGGTGAATAAAAATGTGAGGAAGGATGAAAAGCTTGACTGGAAGAC